ATCTCACCGCGTTCATCTATGACAGGCAAGAGGAGAATTACGACAGTCCACCGTCCAATGACGGGCAGGGAAGAACTAAATCTGGCTAAAATTTCTCTTTCTTTAACTCCTGAAAATAATATAAAATTATATTAAACACATGTTAAAATTGTATTCATGATCTAATAAATTAACTTAAACTATCATAATAAGCCAAAACTAGAACTATCACTAAATGTGATTAATACCCCACAAGACAGCTTCGGGGAAATGAGGATGTGTTACTAGTAACAGAATACCTTGTAAAAGAATTGAAATATAGAGTTTATGGTTCTGGGCAGTTAAAGAAGTTGTGGGTTCTGTATGTTGATTTCCTGTCAAGTGTTTTGGGTGGCCATTTTAATGAAGTTTTTTTATTGAATTATTTCTGTAATAAGTCCAGAAAGACAAGGAAAAGGAACAAAGGGCAATAACTCTATAAATACTGAATATGGAGTTAATAGTTCTTGTTGCACTGCACTTCCTCTTATTGTGCTTGACCATTGTATTGAAAGTTGTTTTGAATTTCCAACCAGTACCTTTTAAGTTATGCTCTGGACAAGGAAAAGTAACAAAGGGCAATAACTCTGTAAAATACTGAAGATGGAGTTATGGTTCTTGTGCACTGCACTTTTCTCTCAATGTGCTTGACCATTGTTATTGAAGTTATATTGATTCCAACCATTAGTCTTCAAGTTATGCTCCGGACAAAAAACGCAAATGGAAAAGTAACAAAGGGCAATAACTCTGTAATTAGTCAAGATGGAGTTATGGTTCTTGTGCACTGCACTTCCCTTATTGTGCTTGACCATTGTATGAAAGTTGTTTTGAATTCCAACCAGTAGTTTTCATGTCATGCTCTGGACAAGGAAAAGTAAACAAAGGCAGTAACTCTGTAATAAGTCAAGATGGAGTTATGGTTCTTGAGCATTGCACTTCCTCTCAATGTGCTTGACCATTGTTATGAAGTTATAATGAATTCCAACAATTAGTCTCCAAGTTATAGTCCGGACAAAAGAATGCAATGGAAAAGTAACAAAGGGCCAATAACTCTGTAATTACTTAGATAGATTATGGTTCTTCTGCACTGCACTTCCCCTTATTTGTGTTTGACAATTGTATGAAGTTGTTTGAATTCCAACCAGTAGTTTTTCAAGTTATGCCCCGGACAAGGAAAGTAACAAAGGGCAATTACTCTGTAATAAGTCAAGATAGAGTTATGGTTCTGTGCACTGCACTTTCTCTCAATATGCTTTGACCATTGTATGAAGTTATAATGAATTCCAACCATTAGTCTTCAAAAAAGTTATGGTCCAGACAAATGAAAGCAATGAAAAGTAACAAAGGGGCAATAACTCTGTAATTACTTTTAGATAGAGTTATGGTTCTTGTGCACTGCACTTCCCCTTATTGTGCTTGACAATTGTATGAAGTTGTTTTGAATTCCAACCAGTAGTTTTCAAGTAATGCCCCGGACAAGGAAAAGTAACAAAGGGCAATAACTCTGTAATTAGACAAGATAGAGTTATGGTTCTTGTGCACTGCACTTCCTCTCAATGTGCTTGACCATTGTATGTAGTTATATTGAATTCCAACCATTAGTCTTCAAGTTATGCTCCGGACAAGGAAAATGCAACGGACGTCTGGACCGACCGACCGACCGCCCGACCGACCGACCAACCGACCACCGGGTGACTCCTATATACCCCCCCAAACTTCGTTTTGGGGGGTATAATTACACCAAACTGATAATAAATATTCAACAGTTTTTAATTGAAACAGAAAACACAAATTAAAATGGCACAATAATAATACAAAAGTTACCAAATTATTGAAAAGGTGTGAGGGGGTAGGGGTCAGTGGTATGTATGAGGTGGAAGCATCAAAGGCAAAGCAAAAATACAAAATCAAAAAATCTAAGACTGATTTTTTTTTCTTCAAAGTATTATCTCACTTAATTTTAAAATGAAATAAAAAATTATTTTCATCAATTCCTTTCTGTTTTATTGCTGATCTTTTCAAGATATTACTTGGCTTTATTACACTAATTTATATTAAATATCCACACAATAATTTTTTTTTTTTGATAAAAAAACTTGTTTTACAACAGCATAGGGTTTGGACTTAACTACAAGGATAATAAAGGTGTAATTCAAACATTTACACTGATGTGATCAATATCCTTTAGAACAGTACTATATTTTTACATTTCTTAATAATTTCATCTTTTTAACCGAGATACTTTTCACTGTGTATAACTAATAGAAATACTTTGCAGCTAAAAGAAGAACCAAGATAATGTATTTACCACACAAGCAACAAAAAACTTGCCAAATTCCCATAATTTTTGGACTAATCAGTGTCAAATTTTATAAAGTTACTACTGCATAAAGAAGATAAGAAATTTTGCAGCATAAAGCATGTTTGTTCTTATGTATCCTGCAACTATAGTAACTAGTATAGAGGAATAAACCAGACCCTGTCTCAAAACAAGAATCTCTCCTACAATAACAGACTACACAAGTAAAAATTCATTTCAAATTGGGTACTTATAATACACTGGGAAAACCAAACACTTGATAAAACATTAATAATTTAATTAATTGGAATATTCTATTTTGGGAAGATTTGGGATTAGGCTGCTAGATGTCATTTGTTGACATTATCTTTTCTATACAAAGACTTTTCTGACACATATTGGTCACTTTAGGCCTAAAAATGCAATCACTTTTTAGAGGGGTGTCCTCTCTGCAGACTGTATAACTGCTGGCCGGCAGAAACCAGTATTACCATAAGCATTTCAGTAAAGTAAACTATATAGATAAGATTTTCTGTTTTCTAATTTCTTCAATTTCTGTTTACTCTGTTGTAATTAGTTTTCAAAGGTAAAACCAAGATCCGACAAGAAAAACCAGATGTCCTGCTGGGAAATCTGTCTGATGATCTTTTTTTCTACATTTAACCCAGTTACTTTTAATGGCTTCAAAAAAAAAATGGATGTTTTTTTTTTTGTTTACAAAAAGCTGTAAAATATCTTATATAATTGCTGTTTTTTTCTTCATCACAAAGTTAAGCTTTAGGGATAAATTTAGACATTGTTGTTTATTATTGATAAGATAAAGGCATGATAATGGCAACGATAGTTTTTCTCAAAAGATAAAAAACAAAACTATTGTCATAAGCACAGGCATATCTTTCTGTAAAGCTATATTCTGAAATATATTCATGATGGAATATTTAAAGAATGCATTGTTTTTTTATTAAATTGAATACTAAATAAATAGGTAAGGCTACAAAATAGAAATACATAATGGACAAACAGACTATTCTATGAAGGAAAAATGTAATACATTTATAAGAAAAAACCATAATAAAGTACTATTTTTTAAACAAGCAATTATCCATAGTATTAGCAAAAAGCAAATCCATAAGTCCCTAACCGTAGAAACCCCCAGCAACCTCCTGATGGGCCATTTGGCCATCCATTTTACCCAGTGAATGAATTTGACATGAATGAAAACTTAAAATTTGTGAGTTCAAATTTGTTTATAATCAACAAATGTGTTAATTCCCTGCCTAGTAAGAAATTATTTTATACAACCTTTCATATTATTTACATATTTAAAAAAAGAAAAACATTTTTGTTTTTCATAAAAATTCTTAAAAGTTCAAGGGAGTAAAACTGATAATTTTTGCTAGACGGTTTTGTAAACCTTTGTTTTCAACATATGATGTGGCTATGACCCAGAAAAACTTATATTTAAGTTTGAAGTAAAACACCTTAAGAAATAAAGAACTTATAGTGAAAAAAAGCTGAAAAAATTTTAAATCAGGAAATCTTGAAATTCAGGCTATTTGTTGCCATAGCAACAAGAATTTTTAACATAGGAAGAAAAAGAAAAAGATGTGCATAATCTCCAGACTACCATCTACCCATATTTCAAGTTCAATAAAAATATTTTCAGTACTTTTGAGTTATCACTGGATCCAGGTTTATGTGTTAAATTTGCCATATTTTCAGACTTATTTGTTGCCATAGCAACCAGAATTTTTCAACATAGGAAGAAAAAAAAAGACCAGAATTTTCAGCATAGGAAGAAAAAAAAAAAAGACGTGGCATAATCTCCATACTGCCATCTATCCATATATCAAGCTTTTCATAAAAATATTTTCAGTACTTTTTTAATTTGCGTTATCGCGAAATGGATTCCAGTTTTATGTGTTTCAATTTGTGCATATTTTCAGGCTATTGTTTTTTTGTGCCATAGCAAACCAGTAATTTTCAACATAGGAAGAAAAAAAAAGACGTGCATAAATCTCCATACTATGCCATCTATCCATATATCAAGTTTTTCATTAAAAATATTTTCAGTACTTTTTTGCGTTATCGCGGGATCCAGTTTTGTGGACGGACGGGACTTGACGAGACTGACAGACAGACTGACAGACAGACAGACGGACGGACGGAGGGTAAACCTAAAGTCCCCTCCGGTTTTAAACCGGTAGGGGACAAATAAGAAAAAACCATAATAAGGTATCAAACTTTTAAAATTAAAGCACACTTTTCCCCTTACCTTGTACTTTAACATAATACATGTAAAACTGTTCCCATGGAAAATATATGACTGAAGAAAGGTAAATCCCTGTTGGGAGGAAATCCTTTGAGGCTATGTCCCTGGCTAAAAGCATTGTGCATTAAAATAAGATTTTTTCTCTCTTTATTCTATTGTTATTGTTAGGTCCACTGTTGATTTCATATATTATTTAAAGTTTAATTTTTCTCTGCTTTATTCTATACTTAAAGTAGGTGAAAACTGTTTGAACAGTGTAAAAATATAATTATGCTCAATAAAATGTAACAAGTTAAAACATGAAATATGATAAAAAGATATAATAAATCATTAAATACCAGTGGAAAAAATAAGGAAAAATAAAACTACAAAGAAAGCGTTTTAATTAATGCCTCTATTCATGAAATCTCACCAATAATGTCCTGTGTTGCTGCAAGGAAGAAAGTTCACATGTTCAATTAAAAATGTTTTGTAAATAAATAATGACGTTAATCAATTAAAACATCAAAAGTATGAACTAAATTAACTCCATTATACTATGTCAGGTATGAACACTGACTCTAGTGCTGAAACTTTGGCAAATTGCTGCCAAACTTTAACTACCAATATAAAGTCAGTTAGTGTAAGGGTTTTTTTTTGATATTAAACACTGCATAGAAATGTAAACAAAAAACCCCCAAAAGGCATTACATTTAGCTTATTTTTGAAGCACCTTATGCAGGCTTTGCCTTTATCACAATACTCTACAACACCTCTCCAATATACTACTTATTTCACCAACTCAATTTTATGCTTAGACAGAAATAAAACATACAATCCTAATTAAATATTCATTCTTAAAACAATTTAAAAAGAATAATTATGTTTATACTTCTTTCACATTCCAATTATTATACATAAGGGACAAACCTTGATGCCAGATGGATAGTGCACTTGACAATTCTCAGTGATCAAGAGCCTCGGCATGGCCAAATTATGCTAAAATCACAAAGGGGAATAACTAACTGAAACTATGTGCTAGATTTGTAGGCCTTAGTCAATATTGACCTATAATTATGACCCTAACGTAAATTCTTCAGTAGTTAGAAATTTGAAAATCCCCAATATTCCTTTTTTTCATAATCAAGATATAAAAGCTTAATTTGTACCTTAAGGTACACAACAATTATATATAAACATGTAAAAGTACTTTAACAAATCAGGTGATTAGTGTAAAATTATCAAACAAATAGATTACCTTGGAAACACACTTTCATAACCTGTGTTCACTTATCATTCTCTTATCAGGAAAATTATACAAACTACTAGAAGATAATATAGAAAACTCAAGATAGAACTGTACACTTTTCTTTGTACAAGCTTCCTAATATTCAGCAGGAGAAGCAAGAAAACCGAGATCAAGAAAAATAAACACAATAATAATGAAATGTTAAAAGTTTGAATTTGCAATGATCCCTCCTACACTTAGTTTACAGACCTCAGAAAATAAACATCAACAAAAAACATGAACATATGGTAGTATGACGTATATCAGTGTATTTCTATGAGCTGTATGACGGCACAAGTCTTCAAAACAATCATTATGGTGTATATATTGAACATTCTTTAAATGATTGCCGCTATATGTCAGACAAATATTCATGATGTCATTGCTAATTGTCCGCTGTTTCTGTAATACATATGCTATAAGCTTATGAGGTATATCTGCTAAAGGGAATGTCTTCTTCTAGGGTATGTCAGCTACTGGGTACTTCTGGTACTTGGTATATCTGCTACTCGGTATATCTGCTACTCGGTATGTCTGCTACTGCTGGGTATATCTGCTATTAGAGACTTATATACTGGCTTTTTCTACTACTGAGTATATCTGCAATGTTACTGGGTACTTCTGCTACTTAGTATGTCTGCAACAGGATTTTTCGCTTTACTGGGTTATTTCTTGCTAAATTATAACTTGGGTAACTTCTGTTCTTTAGTTGTGTCTATCCAAAGATTCAGTTACTTAATTGCATGACTGGGTAATTGATAAATTTTAACTACTGGAAATTGAATTGGGTTCTAAATTTTATTCTGTATGAGTTTTGTCTGCTACTAGGGAATATGTTCTTAGTGGTTACACCTTATACTAGAATTTTTGCTAAAAAAGAATATTTGTCTCTATCCAAAGTGCTCTTCTTATAATCTAAGTAAAACCTCCCAGTATTTCCAAATAGGTTTTAAACAACAAGTTCTTGAATTTATCTAACACAACCACCCAAAATCAGGAGTGCTAAACAAAAACTCAAAAGAAAAGGAACACAACATAATGTTGGTTATTAATCTTTCAAACCAGAAAAGGGGAATTACCTAAATATGCTGCAAAGGAACTTCAAAATGGATTCAAAGATCAAACAAACACCTTGTCATTCAAATAATGACCTTCACATTATAGTGGAACAGTATTCAATGTTAGTCATGACAATTTGACATCTAAAGCAGATTTTTGCAAGATAATATTGCAGTAAATCTCAACTTGAATACATAAAGTTGGTTTACATTCAAGTCTAAATCAAAGTACCAGATTTAATGACGAAAAAGAAGCAAAGAGAATCAGGTGAGAATATAAGTAGCAAAATTACTTTGTATACAGTATGTATGAAGTCGATAAATTTCCATTTTCCCCTATATTCATATCTTGATATACAAAACTCATGCAAGTCATCATTAACAAATTATAATTAAAAACTCTTAGTCTCAAATGTCTGTAGACTTTCAGGAACTAACCTTTTAAACTTAACAAAATTCTGAATTCAAAGTGTAAAAAATCTTACCCAAATATCCCTTAAATATCCGTAAGAATCCAGTATATTCTGTTTAAACAATTCCAATATACCTCACAAGAAAATGTTACATAACTATCGATGACTAAAGCATATATACTACTTCTATCATCAAAGAGATACAACACTTATGTGTACCAACAAACTAGTCATAATGAAACAAATTAATGATGTTTTCTTTACCATCTTTTGATGCCAGCACTTATACTCACTACTGTTAACATAGTAACATTTGTGGTGATTTTATTTTGTTAACTTCTATCAAGTCAGCATTTTATGTAAATACTGTAAAGTATTTAATTTAGATAATCACACCATTATTCAATAGACTGGTAGCAGGAATTATAGTGACTCATTTATACCACAGTCTAACCTAATGCCTTGTACTGATTGAAGCACAATTTTATTATTAGTAAAGAAATAATATATCCCAAACAGTGATTTTTTATAGCTAAATCAAATCACTGTTTGGAGTTCGAATGTAAGGAATTTATTGCAAAGGCATAGCCAGAGTGATATAATGATGTGCATCTGAATGACATCCATACCCAGGGCCTTTTTACCTTCTATAACAGGGGCCGGTATAGGGCTGCTTCCCCAAAGAAAATTTCTTTAAAATCATGCAGTTTTCCCCAAAAATTGAATTTACATTAAGTTTTTTCTTCCCCTTTTGCAAATATACCATGTAATTTTTCCCCAAAATTAAGGGCTGGGCTGCTTCCCCAAACTGTGAAAAAAAGCCCTGATACCTGATATTAAGCTAAATTACGCCCAAATTGTTTCATCACTTATTTTCAGAACGTCACATTTTTAATGGTTACTTCACATGTCTAAATATAGAATGTCAACAGTGATTTTATTGCATAATAACACACACTTTCGGTCATCTATGTTCAATAGAGAAAAATGCAAATCATATTAAAATTTGATATAATATACCCTTAAACTCACAATGAGGAACAAGCATATTCAGATAGCTCTGATCTAACTTAGTGACAGCCTGCAATACAACATTATAAAATAATTCACTAGAACTTTACAACATACAGCATCTTTTGTGAGGGCTGACAAGAAACCTATTCTCACTAGTGTAAAAGTCAATACAAATTATTCTTAAGACTACTTCTTAGTTACTAACCACTGTTCGTCTATTAGTGTAAAAGTCATTTCAAATTATTCTTAGTTTATTTCTCAGTTAGTAACCACTGTTTTCCCGTTAGTAGTTCAAGCCTTTGTCTATTTAGTGCCAACTATTATGAAGAAAATTAACAACATTACACCTGACTTTTTTCTGCTTAATTACACCTATATTAAACCTAAGTAATTAATTAGTTAAATCTATACATAAACAGCATGGCCTCTTGTATAAATTCATGCTCACATAAACAAAGCTAATATCTCAATATTTACTCCTCAAAATTTGTTTAATTGACTCAATTGCCTGGCTTTGAAGTGAGAGCTGCCCATTAAAAATTTGAGGGATACAACAAAATGCTTAAATGAAACAGGTAACAGTCTAGTCAGTTTACAAATGTGATGGCTATGTACTGACGATGCACACAACTGCCGTAACTAAAAAACCTTTCATACAAGATAATTCTAAAAATACAATTATTACCTTTAAAAAATTTACTTAGCAGTCATTCTCAGTATGTCGTATTAACTTACTTTCTCCAGAACACTTTCATTGTTTATAAAGAACTATTTTTCAAAGCTTTTGTAAAGTGAAGATTTCCTTTAGTATGCACAAAATGTTCTTTCTGCATTATTGTTACCATATATCCCCACGATATAGCTATTTTGGTATAACAAACAAAATTCAATACTCATTGAAATTACAACAATGTCACGGTAAACATTCTCCAATACTATTGCATTCCTATTTTCGTATAAAACACAGGTGTCTTAGGGCAAAGCTTTTTCAAAATCTTAAAATAGCCGAGAAGAAACAAATTAAAGTTACAGGAAAGGCTCGACTGCTGACAGAGTGTAAAGGTATGCCCTCGAACATTCCTGTATGAAATCAAATCATTGTACCAATTAAAATAACTTCATGATCACTACTTGATGCTACTCACGACTTTTTAAAAACTTCGTCTCCGAAATAAGAAAATTCAAACTTACAAGATTGGCAAAAAATCAAAACAATTCAATAGAACATGCATTTTGTTTAGTTTAATTGCATGTTGTTGGTTTTTTAATTACCAAACTGTATATCTTTTAGGATCTGAAATGCACCTGCAGCGAAAAATGTCTGCCCCCACTCGCTTCTTGCAAATTTTAAGTCTATCTTGAAACCTACTTGATGATCCATATTTGAAAATTATCACAACACAAAGTAACATGTGCTTAAAGTTAAATTGAAACTAAAGTGTAAACAGTTTCTTTTTTGAGACAAAGATCTCTAATGGCTTAATAAAAAGTAGAGATGCACAAATGATCATTAGACTTGATTTTGACTTGACTTGACTTAGATAAATTGTCAACAAAAAATTCACATCATCAGAGGATCAAACCAGCGACTCTTGGATTACTAATACAATTCTCTCCCTATTGAGCAACACAGACAAACTGTAAACTGCATAGATAGTTTAGTTTCGATCATTTCTCGCTTTCTATAAACTGCATAGATAACCAGTATATATATATACTTTAGTTATTAAAAAATTCATAGCTTATTCAGTTTCTATAAACTGCAAAAATTACTTAGATCTATAAACTGCACTGATCATTAAGTGACTATAAACTAAATACAGTTTTTTAGTTAGACAATTAAGTGACTATAAACTTTAAAGTTCATTTAGTTTCTATAAACTGCATTGACAATTTAGTAAGTTTCTATAAACTTTATAGATGATTTACTTTCTATAAACTGCTCTGATCATTTAGTTTCTATAAACTGCATTGAAAAATAAGTTTCTATAAAATGCAAAGATAATTTTAGTATCTATAAACGTTAAAGTTAATTCAGGTCCTATAAACTTTATAGATTATTCAGTTTCTATAAATTGCATTTACAATTTAGTCTCTATAAACTTTATAGATGATTTAGTTTCTATAAACTGCACTGATCATTTATTTCGTATTTACTGCATTGAAAAATTAGTTTCTATAAACTGCAAAGATAATTTTAGTTTCTATAAACTGCATGAAATCATTGCTCAATTACATGTATAACAATTTACCCTGATTCAGAACTGATAAAATTATCTCCTCTATTATAGTATTAAATGTATAATAATATAATAATATTTGTATTAAATGGTTATCTCCCCATTCTCAGACAGAGATGTTTTTTTTAAAGAAGTATATGTTACATTTCAACTTCAGTGCAGCATGCAGATTTTCACATCAAGTTACTAGATTAATGGAATATAAATCAATTCCCTTCTGACTTTCAGCATAAACAACTTAATTTTCAAGATAGTTCCTCTTCACATGCAACATGTTCCAGAGAGTATCAGCTACGTGTCCAAAAACAAGTTCGCAAAAATGTATGATAAAATCTATCTCAAATGTAGCAAAAAAAATATTCTTGTAATAAGGAAAAAAACTTTAAACATCCGATCTTATTCATAACCTTGTCTGGTCCAATCAGTTAAAAGTAAAAAAATCAATAGTTTGCTTAAAATCTTGTGATAACTTTTAACACACACACCTTGCAAAACTGAGAGATTCATTAATTTACATAGCTTAAAATTTTTTTTTCACAAAAAATGAAAAATTAAAATTCTTGTCATATTGTAAAAATTCATTTGAGTCCAATGCAGTATGTGTTTAAAATTCAACTTTTTCATTAATCAAATCAAATGTCAGAATCTATTATTGGTCTGACTATTGGTCCATTTCTGATGAATGAACAATCAGATTCTTGACCTTCAAGATAGTTCTAGTACTAGAAACTTAAGTCTTCAAATGGTGTACCAAAACGAAACTTAATTTCAAGAAACCGAAGTCTTCTAAAGCTCAAACCAATATTTACTCTTCAAAGTTTTGATAAATGAAAGAACCCTAACACTTGGACCAAGAAATTTAAGTCTTTATGTCAAGAAAGCTTGCACCAAGAGATAATATTTTCAGAGTTTGATAAAAAACTTTACTCTTCAAAACATGAGCCAAGAAACTATAGACACTTAATGCATCAAAGCTTAGACCAAAAAACAGTGTCTAAAGCTTTGACCAAAACACTTAAGGCTTAAAAGCTCACACTAAGATTCTGCATAGCTAAAAAACAAAAACTAATTATTTGCAAGAAAAAAAATCACACACAATAAAAATGGTTTTATTATTATCTTACAGATTTTTATATTTGATAATACATGGGTTCTTACCTGTTCCAGTATCTTGTTAAACACAGTACTTTTCTGTCTAATCCTCAACAAATGTTCGTTGTAACCCCTTAGTGCTGAAAGCGTCCCTTCTGCAAATAGATGTACAAGACCAACTTAAAACCATCAATAATCCAATATTACAAAAGAAAATAAACTGCTCTTATCAACACAGTTGATAAAATGTTTTCAACACTTGACTCTAAATATAAATCCTTGAAAATAAGCAGAAGGGGTTTACAGCTGCACCTTTGTGTCTATGACAGAAATGTATATTCCAGACACTTCAGGGGTTTTGTTCGAAAAAGTGTAAGGCTTATAATTATGTTTGAGGTATTGTACACAGCACGAAATCCTCTATACTTCTGATGGGTGCTCTAGATCATTCAAGTTTTCTTATCTTCCCTCAGAGATATAACATACAGGTATATAGACTCAGTATCAGGCAGTGTGCACAATTTCTATGCTATATAGCTACACATAGACTGGCTCATGACCTTATTTTTTTTTATTTATTTTTTTTATTATTTTCATTCTCAACTTGTAAAAAAAAAACTGAAAGCTTATTAACAGAAAAAAAACGCATGCCAATTATTTTAATTTTTCATGGAATTGTCAATACTAGGTTAATTTACTTATTTATCAGTATCATAATCAAATTAAAGTATACATGTATTACTACATTTAAATAAATGATAAACAAACTGCTTAATTCTATGCATAATTATCTGCCATAGCATTTAAGTTAAAAAGTGTGGAACATTCTAAATTACTGGTCCTAAGCACAATTGACAATAGGCAATTTGTGTTCCAATGCGTATCTTTTCAGTATTGTTTCAAATCAACACTACCTTTACATATTTCATTATGTATTTTCAATTTTCTTTGTCAATGATGATATAAGAGGATTGGCTAGTGGATTACATTTGAATAGGGTAGTTTGGGGCCGGGTGCAAATTTTAGTGACAGAGGTAAATTGTGTGAGTTGATATGCAGTAAGCATATGTGTATTGTTTATACATAGGAGTAATGTGTGACATGTCAGCATATGTGTTAGACATTTTCATTTAGTTTTTGGTTATGACTTGGCCTTAATTTCAATTCACAACCTTCTTTATTTTGGGTCACTGTTGTAAAGGTATATTAGAAGTGGTGTAGGGTTTGTGAGAATCATCACAGAGGAAGGAGCCAGTTTATACTGGAACCCAGTTCATACTGAGAGCCAGTTCATACTGAGAACAAGTTCATACTGAGAGGCAGTTCACACTGAGAGCCATTTCATACTGAGAGTCATTTCATACTGGTAGACAGTTCATACTGGGAGCCAGTTCACACTGAGAGCCATTTTGTACTGGGAGTGAGTTCATACTGGGAGCCAGTTCATATTTGGAGCAAATTTATATTGGGAGCCAGTTCATACTGGTGATAGGTAACAGAGTTCATTGAGTTTATACAGGTGAATAACCTTAAATAAGCTAAATATTTTCATCTGACATATTCTACATGATTTATTACATTATAATTTTGCTGAAACAACAAATTCTACTTTATCATCTCAGATACAGATTTAATAAGCTTTTGCAAACTTTCATTTCTCAATCTTTCATAATATTCATAGAATGTCAAATGTTTAGAATAAATTATCTTTTAACTGGGAAACTCATCTTTTTTGTAGGTACATAATCATTAGTATCCAAGGTAACTATTTTTGTTGAAAAGGCTTGGAAGTTACTTTCCAGTTGAAGATACAAAATTTCAAAATTCTGAATTTTCAATGGGTGATTCAAATTGAAAGATGACTGGTTAGTTAAAATGTTGTAATTATATGACTTCTCTGCCTACAAGGTATTTTCTGTTTTCTTGTTTGTTTTAGTCTAATGTCTAGGTAGTTAACAGATGTATTATGACAGAAGACTTCAGGGGTCTGTGTGATTGAGGACCTATTAAAGTGTAAGGGTATAGGACATACCAGAGTATTAGTAGAGAATAAATTCTAACTAGTTCTTTGTCTCTGTCCAACATAGGCCAATCCTTGGTGCACCATTTATAAAATAACCCTGCCCCATCCCCCTTAGGGAGTGTAGGGGGAATAAGCCAGGTTTTTGCCAAGCACAGCATATAAGATAACCTGATTTTCCGAGTAAGAAATAACAAAGGAATAAGCCTAACTAGCAAACACAAGAACATGTTGATATAATTTTGTTGCTATCACATTTACCTGTGATTTACTAGGTCTCCAAGTCAGAATTTTCACTATAAAAAGAGCCAGGGTTACAAATGACTGTTGCATAAAGCTCATCTTTAAGATCTTCATCTCCCTTTAAACTGTCATATTTCTGTTTGTTTTTTTTATACTAAACTAGCTTTAATCTGCAAACTCTATGTTTCTCAGCATAAGAAAATATAAAACCATATAACATTTGAATTTGAATATTATTATTTGATAACAAATTATCATTATTTACATACTGAACAATAAACTGGGCATGACATATTGATTAAATCCAGCTAAATGCAAAACTTAGAAATGTTGAGAAATTTATTAACATTTTTTGTTGGAATTTTCAAAAATGTGCATCTAAAAACAATTATTACTTTGTTTGAAGCATTCTGTGTAGTCTTGCTTTATATTATTTAAGAGTCAAACATAGATTATATCATGTAGAGTCAACCAAACACAGATCTTTTTTGTTTTGAGCGTTATATTTAGGAAATCACAAGTCAATTGGTCATTTGAAACATGTGGAGATTTAACAGTTTATGTAATATCTGATACCTTATTGCAGGATAGAGCATTAACAGTTAATTAAGTTAACATATTTATTCCATACAAGTTTCATTTACATCAGTTTCTAAACTAGTACCTCCCTGCTTATTTAGAAATAATTAAACAGCAATAGATTTAATTAACTCTCAGTTGTTTGAATACATTTCATTAATGCTTGATAATGAAACAATTTCTTGCAACTTGTTTTAATCACATTTGATTATGTTTTATGGAAGTTATAAGCAATATTATACATGATATAAATATCTTCCTTCCTTTCTTATGTGTCAGTGGACCTTCAAACAAGAATACTGTCCTCCTGAGCAGGCACTCTTTTATCCAGCTGCTAAAATTTAGAAGTGCTGAGCTGCTTAATTAACTTCACATTATCCTGTCACTGTCAAAACAACTTGCTCAATGCTGAAAGTTCTTCAATTTCCAATAGTTCTGCTTTAACTGTTATATATTTGTTTTTGCAATGGAAATGCTTTCTGTTTATGATGTATTTAAGTGGGGAGTAAAAATAGATTGATTCAGATCTCCAACAATCATATAGTTTGACCAGTTAAGTACACAAAGATAACATTACAATGTAAATGGACAAAGCTGAAGGCTGAGATCCACTGGTGATATCTGTGGTGATATCTGTGGAGATGTGGTCATGACCAGAGTAGGGATCAAACCCTCAATCCAAACCTTGAGAGGTACCGGTAGGCACCAAATTCACTATGCCACTACTTCCCTTTAACTTCAAGTTTGCATGAAGAAATTGTCTCTGTAGGGTATTGATTCTAGTTACTTGGAATACACATAGCTTGTTCTTTCAAGTTATTAATGTCAAAAAAACTTTCTCGTTTATCTAGTTTGAAAGTACAGACATAAATGATGTTCAAAGATTACAGAAAAATATACTTAAATCTTTTTTAAATTAAGGTGTATCCTTCAGAGAAAATAGATGAATTACATAGGTAATGTAAAGTTATATAAAATGCTCCACTTCTCTATTCACACTTATAACCAAAAAAACACACTATCTGCCTCACAGCTAATTCTCTAACTTTATATTTAGAAGCAAATTGGAAATAATTGCTTAAAAAATAGAAAACTAGACAATCAGCCAAAAAACTTGTCCAAATTATAGAACACTTGTAATGAGGGTGCAATAAAAACGTGAAATATTCTGCCACAAAACAAAGAACTACTTCTCTATAATAAATTCTAAAGAGGTTGTTTATGTACTTTTAATTCATTATCTGTACCCCCATTAACTTGAAATGAATTTGCTCTGCTTTGAATTAAGACCTGACCATTGTTAGTTTTAGGGAGTTCAGTATAGAACCTTGTCACAATGATTTGAAGTGACTGACCTGGTTCTAACACTGGTAGCATTATCATTACCACTGCTTGTGTTCAAAAAGTCAACATTTTGTAATTATAAAGCACTTTAACCCATTACGATATACACGCCTTTTAACGCCTTTTTCACCCCCCCCCCCCTTTTGTTGTCTCAAATGGTGAAAAAATGCCTTATTTAGGCTCCCAACACTTGTTTTTGTTTGAGAAATGTTGTTAAAAAAAGTGACCTCTTTTTCGGCGCGGCCCCCCAAGCAAAAGATACATCAGGGGGTTGCCAGAAGGGGAATGTGTCCCCTTCTGTTTGGGGGGTTTGAAGGGGGGGCGGAGTCCCCCTCATCGCCAAGAAAATTTTGGACTTGTGAGAGGCTATAAATGACCCCAGATTGATCATAAGGTAACGTGTAACCAACGCTGAAAAGCATTTGACTCTATCTCAATCCATTGAGAAGTTGCAGCACTTTGAAATCAATTTTGATGGAAAAAATCAACACAAACTAGTGATTTTTGGCAATTTTGAGATGTCCCCTCGTTGCCATGGTAACAGAAAATTTAAGCCTGAGCATGTTGTTGCAAGGGCAATGGTCCAGTCAACATTTGTGCCAAGTTTGATTAGTGTTGAAGTAGTTTTTATAGTATTATAGCAATTTGAACTTGTAACGGGAGACTTTTCAATGAAAACAGCCATTTTTCACAAAATGCTCATGAAGTAATGGGTTAAGTAACAAGATCTGTAAAAACAATATGGCATGTGAGTTGATTATTTTCTGCATTTTTTCAAAAAGATAATAATATATATATCTTTTTTTTTATTTAATTTAGATTTTTAGTCACTGCTAGGGGTACAGATTATTTAATTTATTTTTGATCTACTACAAATATGTTTGTTTCCATGTCATTAACCTGTAATACTATAATAATTTTGGCCTGAAGCTTCCTTTCAACAGTGCCAATAAAATGTGTGCAGTTATGTACTTGTTCTGGAAAGGTAACATGCATAACAAATGGGTGTCCAATGGCCGAAGACATTTTAATCAAACAAATCTGCAGAGAATAAATGCTACTCCTAGCTCAGTAATACAAAGAGCATAATAAGGAAAGGAAAGTGGACATCTTGTTATGATCATTATATTTTACTTTTCTTACACTAATTCTGTAAAAATTTTATATTGAATATCCAATTAATAATTTCAACGAAAATGTTTTATCAATGACACCCATCACACCAGAGTAGACAGTCTTTATGGGAAACAGATTGCAAGTCTTCTAATTGTAAGCCAACAAATGTTTTAAGGTAGCTCGCTACTTTCCGACCGAAATTTGACAATATCTCAGATCTTGATGATTTCTAGTATACAGACATGTAGATATGTAAGCTTTACTTCTGCAGCATTATT